TTCTCCTGTCAAAGCTTCCTTAGTGCTGGGATTATAAGTGAAACTACTATGCCTAGCTTTGTGGGTTTTGTTTTGTTTTGGATTTTTATATCTTTTCCATTCAGCATTGGTAATTCATATGTACTTAGGAATGTGTCTTCTGAGATTTCTGTCTTTACTGGAAAATAAGTGCTTGGACAGGCTAGATAATTTAGCGGACTAAAGAGCCTGCTTAGGCAGTCGGAGGGACTGGAGTTCAATCTCTGGCGTGCTGTGCTGGCCCTGCCCCCAGGCACGCTGAGGTGGTGACTGAGACTGGACATGGTGGCCAACCCCTGTAATCCCAGCTCTTGGGAGGCTGAAAGGAAGAGGATCACTATGAGTCTGATCTATGTAGTGAAACCCTTTAGACCCTGTACTAAATACATTACAAAAAAGAAAAAAGAAATTAAGTGCTTAAAGTAGGTATTGTTGATCATCTGGGTTTCTATAAGATCCTCTGTGATTTCATCTTTTTCATTCCTGACTATATGGATTTGAGTCTTGTTTCCTTTTTTGGATAACATTGGCTAAGTGTTTGTCTAGTTCATTTAATCTTTCAAAGAACCAACTGTTCGCTGGGCATGGTATCACACGCCTATGGGAGGCTGAGGCAGGAGGATTGTTGTGAGAGTTCAAGACCAGCCTGGGCTACAAAGTGAGCTCAAGGCCAGTCTGAAATAGCCCTTGCGACTAAGCATCGCCATGTGCGCCATGTGTCAAGGACTTAATGTGGATTCATTCTTTTCATTGTTTCTTAGTTGCCTGGTCCCTCAGGGGTAGGCACTCTGGGAAATGTTAAACTTGCAAACATTTTAATGGGTCTAGTGGGGCCAATTTTTCTCACTTCCTTACCAGCCCCATAAAAATCTCATCCATGAGCACATCCTCCTTCCTAGTTGAGAGCCGAGAAGCTTCCCTGGGGAAAAAGATACTCCTGGGGCGTGCCCCATAAGCACAAGATCAGTAGTGGGGAGTGTGAGGTGTATGTGGGCTGCCTTCCTCCTCGATGTGAGAGGTCAGGCCAGTGACAGGCTCTGTTCTCTAGACTCCATCCATGGATCCAAAGAGTCCAGCTCTTTCTTTTGTATTCTGAGGCTCATAGCAACAGCTCTACAATCCAGTCATGCTTCTGCTGGAATTAAATGGTTTGCTTAAGAATTTCTCAAACAGCTTTGACCCCCGTGGTGGCACAAGCCTGTAATCCCAACACTCTGGAGACTGAGGCAGGAAGATTGTTGCAAGTTTGAGACCAGCCTGGACTACAAAGTGAGCTCAAGATCAGCCTGAACTGCATAGTGAGACCTTGTCTTAAAAAAAAGAAAAGAAAGAAAGAACAGAAAACAGCTTTGAAGAAGAAATACCCTGTTTTTTTTAATTTCATCAGGTGGTAGACAAGGTATCTGAAAATTGTTAACCGAGCCTAGGAGATAGCTCAGTGGCACAAGTGCCTGCCTGGCAAATACAAGGTCCTGAGTTCAATCCCTGGTATCAAAAAGAAAAAGAAGAAATGAAAATCATTAACTACTGAAAGGAAGAAAAGGAGCAGGATCACCATCCTACCCTCTGCTCAATTTCCGAAGACTGAGAATCCTACCAAGTGAGGAAAGGACATTTACAGGTAGCTCAAGAAGAGCATCTGTCTGGCTCCAGAAAATAGCCCATTGCTTAGTGTTTCTCAGAGTCTGGTTCATAGACCACTTGCTTCCAAGTCACCATATCCTTTGGGGTTCAGTTATAGAACTATTGGATTAGATGCCCTCCAGTGGAACCCTGGAATCTGTGCACATAGCAATCTTTTCCCATGAAAAGATTGCCTGTAAAAGACACACAGTTCCTATTAATTCCCTTCAAAATATTCCACCTTGCTTTGAACACACTTAACCTTTTGTTCTTGCAACTTTCTGGACCAGCTCTGGAAGTCTTCTTTCATGAGTGTCTCCATTAAGTAAGATTGAAAACCACAGTGAGCGCTGCTGCCAGTGCCAGCCAACAGGAGGGCAGGTGCATGGAAGCGCCTTGCTGTGCCCTCAGCTGCCTCATGCGCGGATCTGGCATGGCAGGACTTACCGTTCTTTCAAAGATCTAATGACCCTGAAAGGTAATGTTTTTTAATTGATTCAGGATGTGGAGGCAGTTGTGACAGCACAACTGAAGACATGGAAGAAGCCTGTAGAAGTCCTGCAGAAGGTGGCAGGAGTGATCGTTAGGTTCTCACAATTAGGCCCATCCCAACCTGAAGAGAAACTTCCACAGACCAGTCTGTTCACACAGGAAAGCCCCTCTCTCAGCCTGAGAAACAGAAACAAATCTGTTTATCAGGATGGCTCCCAGGCCTGTTCTCAGGCCTAAGGAAAACCTTGTACATCTACAGAATGACCCGCTATAACTCAATAGAATACCACAATCATCCTGTATTTCCCTCCCCCAAAGAGGCACCACACATATTCATGACCCCTGAGCAACTTACAGTTGTCCATCTTTCTCAGTGAAACGCCCCTGCCCACACTGAAGCCAGTCTATGAAGCATGCTCTCGGGCCTTCTTGCATTGACCAGGTTGCACCTAGCCTGAAATAGAGATATCGCTGTTTGCTTCAATCTTGTCTGTGCTAGTGGTCTTGGTGGTTCCTTGGGGTCTAGCCTGACAGTGATGCAGTAAGTGTGTTCAAAGTGAGGATGATTATTTTGAGTGATTACTGGCAATGTGTCTTTTGCCATAATATATTTTAATCTTTAATTAATTAATTAGGTACAGGGTCTTGCTACACAGCTTGGACTCATAGTGATCCTCCTGTCTCAGCCTCCCCAACAGTGGGATTACAGGTGTGCGCCACCACGCCTGGTTTCAGTGGCTGGCACAGCATGTGGTTGACCACCGAGCTATCTCCCCAGCCCTATAATACATTTTAAACTTTTTAAACATTCACTATGTTTTTTATTTAGCACAAGTTGTATTATTCAGCATCTTTAAAGATATCTGAAGACACTGGGTGCTTCTCTGCTTGCCCTTCAGATGGTCTCTTACTGTGCCGTCCAGGGAGAAGTCAAGCACTCAGGTGTCAAGTTCATGTTGTCTGTTCCTCCCTCGTCCACTGGCCCCAGGCATTTGATCTCACACCTGCGTGCTCCCCTCTAATCTGGTTCCTGGGGGGTCTTAGTTACTCTTGTTGCTGGGACACATACCCGACACTCAAACTTAGGGAAGGAAAGGTATCTAACTCATAGTTACTGGAGGTTTCATAGTTTAAAGCAGCCTGAATGACATAGCAAGACCTCGGAGCCTTATTTGCTCAGGAGAGAGGTCAGTGCCTTTGTCTTCTCCAAACATCTCCCTGCCTGAGGTGGCCTCAATCACAGACACTGCGGCCCCATGCTACAGGGTCTGGAGGAGAGGCTGGGGTGCCACTGTGTCTAGGATGACCTTCTCCACACCTCCAAGGGATGCCACTGGTCTGGGGGACTGGGGAACAGAGCGCAGGCTGCCAGTTTAAATGTTCTTGCCTCTCTGGCCCTGCCCCTCAAGCCACTCACTGCTCCTCCAGGGTCTGCCCTGTGACTTACATGAGGCTTTAGAGAGGACAACTATACACAAACCATAACGCTAGGCTATGACTATATTTTTTTCTTATATTTTATTCGTAGGTACAAGCTGCAGCCAATAAAATTGTGGTTATTATAGTGCACTGAAAAATCAGAGATACTAATTTTTCTATGATTCCTTCCATAATTAACTCTCTATATTCTGAAGAATTTTGAATTTAATGCAGATTGGAGAAGAGAGATTAGAAAGAACAGGGGAGGAGAAAGAGTAGATTTAAAGGAAGAATTAAATGTGGAGGGTCTGACCAGGCCTCTGCTCTGTCTCCAGCCACTCCTCTCTATGTGTCCCAGCCCTCCACCTCAGGGAAGGCCTCTGGTGTCATCTCTGCTGTTGTGAGCTGAAGATGCATTCCAACCTTTCTGGTGTTTTACATTCTTTCATTAAAGAAATACTTGGAAATGGTTACCTAAGCTAAAGCCATTTATTGAGGAAAGAAGATACAAAGTCACATCTCAAGAAGTTCTACTTTACTTTTTTTTAGGAAGTGGTCTACAGGGTGTTCAGGGTCTCACTACTAGATCAGACTCATAGTGATCTGCCTGTTTACAGCCTCCCAAGAGCTGGGATTACAGGGGTGTGCCACCACGCCCAGTCTCAATTGGGGTTTCAGCACACCCTGGGGGTGGAGCCAGCATAGCAGGCCCGGGGATTGAACCGGCAGCCTCTGCTCCTGCTTGCACGCGCTTTTAATCTGCTGAGCTATTTGGCTGGCCCTTCTACTTTACTCTTAACTGTGGTTCACCTCTCCACTTTCTAGACATTCCTGTAAGTTATTTCTGCCCTGAGAGTTTTACCATCATTTCTTTGAAGTTCTATAACATGCCCTGAAACTCAGTTGGCTTTTGATACTGTGTCCAATGATATTTGCAATGCAAATCTAGCACCATCCACATTCTGCAATATTGGAACTTACTGTAAAGTAGCAGCTGTTGAATTAAGAGCAAGTGAGTGCTATATCACAGTGACTTGAAATAAATCTAGAATGACACTCCTTGTGCTCTAAAAGCTGTGTTCAAGTCCGCACTCATATTTAGGGTCTTAATTTTATTAGACATGTTAGATCTCTAAGCATTAGTAAAACCTTTTTTCTCATCCCTATCCACAGTGTTCTATCAGCAGAAAGGACTCTGTTGTCTTCCTTGCAGCAAGACTTACTTGTCTGTATATCCAGAACCTTCTGCCTGCAGTATTTGATGATTGTGGAAATCCTGCCAGTAAGATTAACCAGAATTGTTAGCTGCTCTCCTTGAGCCTTCCCACATCTCTCTCAGGTG